TATATAAAATCTCTAATATTAAGATTGTAAGATATCATAAATTGATTATCTATATTAAATTTAATTAAATTGGTATTAATTAATAAAGAATTATGTATATTTTTTTGAATAACCATTTGGTTAGTAATTAAATTTATTAATATTATAATCAAATATACTATTATAGATATAGTGATTATATTAGATATCTATAAGATATGGATATTATAATAATTATCTATATTCAATATTATTATTTTTTTTATATATCTAGCAAGTGTCAAATTAATAACTTTAGCAGATTCTTCAGATATATTGATCTTATATTACACAATTGAACAAGATGTAATGACTTTATAATAGTATCAAAAATATCAGTCAAATTTAAATATAAAAACAAATTTCTTTTAGTATTATTTATGAACTTATTTCTTATTTCACAAAGATATAAATAGAAATTGCTTTTTTATTCATATTTTATTTTTTTATTTTTTGATTACAGATTTGATGAAAGATATAACTCATCAAAAAATTTTTTAATCTTGTATTTTTCTCTTTCATGATTATTCAAAATTTGTCAAATAAATATATTAATAATTCTTTCTCTTTATTCTCATGATTATATAAAATTTTTATTAATATTTCTATTACTTTAGAAAAATACAAATAAGAATCATAAAATTCATTAGTCTTATTAGTTTCAGATTATTTCAGATTAATAACTTCTGACTCATCAGTTTCAGATTATCTTGCATGTTCTTGAAATTTAGCTGATCTATTAGTTATAATCCTGTTATAACAATTTAGGCAAATTATATCACCTACTTAAAGATAAGAAGATAAAATATTGTTAGTTTGTCCTTTTTCAATTAAGTTTCCAGTTACTGCTTTTCAGTTAATCGATTTTTTTTTGCATATGACAATTACACATGATTCTGTTAATAACATTTTTGTCTTTTAAGCAAAGTTAGTCAAATTACAGATTATTTTGAGATTATTTTTTTCAGTAAAATTGACGATTATTTATAGTCTTTGTGGCAATTTTTTATTAGTGAAACGTTGCAATCTCAAAAAGTACTCTAAAGTGTATAAATAAGTTATCCGGGCAATTGATTTACATCAGCCAATCAGACGAAAGTCTGATCATGACTATTACGCTTCAAAGATGCGCTTTCTATAATAAATCGCCGATCTTAATTAGTGATGCATGATGTCGATCACACTAATAAAAAATTTTGATACCGAATTTGTCCGGTGACTGATAACAATAAATTATGTTCGATTTTTCAACTAATAAGAGTATGCAGATCACAAGACATGTCCGCTGACCGATAACTGGTTTATAAAGTATTTTCGTGTTTTTTATTTACTCGAAAATGTCGACTTTTGGTGGAGGTATACAGAGTTTTTTGCCTCATTAGATAAACAATACTTTTAATTTAATTCTATAGTTATTTCAAAAAAGACGAAGTTGCTGCTATAGTGCTTGACGTTGGATCTTGTTGGACTCGTGCGGGTTATGCGGGCGAGGACTCTCCGAAGACCGTGTTTCCCACCCATTATGGATATATGCCGGAAAATAGAGTTATGAATAAGTCGAAACTCGGTGCGAGTGATCTTGGAGGGGGAGAAGGCTCACAGCAAGAAGAGAATTGGTCGCAAAAAACAGCGGAGCAATATGTAATAGGGGATAGTGAAATATCTGTATGGCGAGAATATATGGAAATTAAGAATCCCTTAAAAGATGGATTGAGTAAGTTATTTCTGGAATGCTCATTGTAATCAAACAACAAAAAATACAAAATGTTAATGGATAACTGGTTTATTTAGTTCAGGATTGGGACGCGTTAGAACATATTTGGGACTACGCGTTAAGTAATCGATTACGCGTTAATCCTGCAGAACATCCATTATTGGTGACTGAAGCAGCTTGGAGTACTAGAGAAATACGCGAGACTCTTACTGAGCTTGCTTTTGAAAAATACGATTGTTTAGCATTTTATATTGTAAAAAATCCTGTTCTTACTGCGTATCCTTTTCCATTTACTCATGTACATATACAAAGTTATACGTATCAAATAATACTATATAAAGCGTTTGGGTTTTACCTTGACTTTTGCATATAATGAATCTTAGATTTGCTTCAGGGCGTCCAACGGCAATTGTGTTAGATTCTGGTGCAGCGAATACAAGTGTAGTTCCGGTTTTTGATGGATATGTATTAAAAAAAGGTTTGTTTAATTATGTTTTTTGTTTTTTACACATATATTACTATTAAGATTTATATATTCATGTTTATTATTAGGAATGCAGAGATCACCAATTGCCGGGGATTTCTTATCTGAACAAATTTTGCGACAATTCGAACAACAAAAGATTACTCTTAATCCACAATATCTAGTTGCAAATAAATCCTTTACAGATCCTGATGCACCAGCCATATTCGCTAAACGTGATCGTCCAAATACCACTGCTAGTTTTCATAAATTCCAGGCTATGGTAAATTTGGTTTATTATTATTGATTAATTTGGCAATTTAATAATTTCCAAAATACTTCTTAGTAGTGTTTGGTTAACAAAAATAGAAAGTAGTCCATGAATATAAGGAAACTGTTTGTCAAGTTTTTGAATCGACTTATAACGAGGCGTAAGTAATTATTGTCATTTTGAAAATGCACATTTTTTAGATGTATTAAGTTGCTTTGATCGGTCTATCTTATAGTATAATTGCCTCAAGACCAATGAAATCCTTTGAATTTCCTGACGGATTTAATACCTCTTTTGGTCCCGAAAGATATAGAGTTCCTGAAATTCTATTTCGACCAGAATTTGCAATACAGGTTCGATGCTATTATCATTATTAAAATCTGACATGTGCTGCAGCTTGATTAATTGATTAATAATGATTGAAACATTTTTCAAAAATTGAGCCTCAAGAAACAGGAATTGACGTGGGATCAGTTGTTGGAATACCGAATATGATATATAATTGCCTATTTACGTGTGATGTTGATATGCGAGCAAATTTCCTGTCGAATCTTGTCTGCACTGGTGGGAGCACGTTATTTCCGAATTTCACAGATCGCGTATTTCAAGAGTTGAATCCCATGTTTCCCGGGGTAAGCAATCCCTTATTGTTGATGATAAGATTCGATTGTTTTTTTTTTGATCTTAACTATCTTCTATTATTATAAATAGCATCGGGTTAAAATACATGCACCCGTTAATAGTGTCGAGAGAAAATGCAGTGCATGGTTAGGTGGTTCAATACTCGCTTCCCTTGGGACATTTCATCAACTTTGGATATCAAGAAAAGAATATGATGATCATGGTAAAGGAATTGTAGAAAAAAAATGTGAATAATTTGTTTGGGTATATAGATCAACATTTTATTATTCACAATAATAAAAAAAGGAATTGGCGGTTAAGGACATAAAAAATTTATATAATAAATAACGTATTATCTGTTCACGTATCATAATAGAACCAACGCATTTTCAAATAAATTAAACAAGCATCTAAACAATAAAATATTATTATCATTATTATTATTATTACTATAATACAAAAAAATCTATTCAAGGACATTATAAAATAATTAATGTTTCTTTATCATAAGAGATCATCTTCGTCATCGGAAATCGCAGAAAAAGCGTTATTGGATGCTGATTCAAAGTCGATTGATACGCTGGGAGGTCGAACATCGGAAAAATCAATTCTAGCATTTCGAGCCGATCTATTCTTTTTATTCCTAAGATATGAAAAGAATTAGTTAGTATTAATGAAAACAAAGAATGATGATAATGATACTTTAATTCGACATACTTTCTTAACATTACAATCAATCTACCAAACTGGACTAAATTTCTGGCCACAAGTAAAAGTGTATCCAACAGTTCCTCTGATTTCTGACCGGATGAACAACCACCCGCCAGAATGAATAGCACAGTTAGAACACAGAGAAATACAAGAATTATATCTACAATATTATAAACAGATCTCCAAAATAACTATAAAATTTTTTAAAAATGAATTAGTGATGAAATTTAATCATTTGGAATAACGAGATTTAAATAATAAAACGAATTACTTGTTTTAACGCGAAAAAGCGCGTTGTCACTTCAGCGATCATGGCAACGTTGATTATAACCTCCAAGATAATAAACCATATGGAAGGGCTATTTGAAGCAAAAAATTTGATGAATTATTTCTAGTTGCACATATCTACAAAGTAAACAATTACCAAGTTTCTTCAATTGACTATCAAGCAAATAGAAATAACATAATTCATTAATATTCAAAGAATTAAAATGTTCAAGGTCGCAACCCGCTCTCCCATAATTAATAAATACCAATATTATCGACACTGTACTGAGTGCCGCCATTCCCAAATATAACCAAGTATAAAATCTCGAATAAAGAATACGATTAGCTAAACCGTGCACAATTTCCGCTCGCGACAACTTATGTTGAGTTGAAGGAAGGTTAATATTTGATGCACCATTTGTAGTCGATAACTTTCCTCCTCCATCGTTTCCATTTAGTCTATACAATGAAGAAATATTAATAGAGCTCATGTGTTAGCTGTTCTATTTATGATAACTATAAAAGCTGGAAAATATAAAAATCTTTTTTACGGCAAGTGTTCAGAGTTATTGATAATTGATCCGGAAGCAGAAGGATTATTGTTTAAAGATGTCATTTTAACTTTCTATCTTTCATAGAATTCACGTGGACTAATAAATAGTCGTTGGTGTACATTAACGTTAATGAAATATGATTATCCTAATTTGGGGGTCAGATCACAGGATCAAATTCAAAGACAAACTTGGGAATTTTGTTGGCGATGCATAATTATGGATCAGTTTAGGAAGTCGGTTTTAATTCTTCAAGAACAGAACCACCCTATGAATATCGCGCTTTCCCAAGATACACAATATACACACAGTCTTAATACAACCAAATAACCTATCTATTTAAGAATGAACGCATTATTATCGATTTTTTTTCTCAGTATAACGATGCTGGTCGGTTCTTTTCTTGCTGGTACTATGCCACTATTTTTCTCGCCATCGGAGAAAAGGTTAAAACCTATATCATCATTTGGAATTGGTTTACTAGTTGGAACGTCTTTAATAGTGATTATCCCTGAGGGTATCGAAACATTATACAGTGCGCACAGAGAAATATATCCGGTTACTTATTCTTCTTCCATAAATTATAATACAAATCCGATCGAAGATTCTCCAATAGTAAGACGTGATATTTTTCCAGAATCTGATCATGAAACATATTATATATCCCGCGAGAATAGTAAATTTATAAGAGTAAGAAACAGAATTGATAGAAGACAAGAATCATCGAACAATGAAGCAAATTCTATCGCTCCACCCTCTCAAAATAATGATGAAAATGATAAAGAAAACCCTGCTCATCGTTATATAGGAATAGCTTTAATATCAGGATACACATTGATGTTCTTAATCGATCAAATTGGCGCTTCTCATACTCATTCTCAAAGTCATCTTGACACTATTGAATATACTGAAATGAATGCGTTTGCGGAAGACAATATTCTTCATGACAATGATATCCTTAATGATAATAGTACCAGTAATCCACCAGCAATGATTAAGTCGCACTCTATAACCATTGGACTGATTATTCATGCAGCTGCAGATGGCATCGCTCTCGGAGCATCAGCAAATCAACCTACTATTGAATTTATAGTTTTTCTGGCAATTATGTTGCATAAAGCACCTTCTGCCTTTGGGCTTTGCACGATTCTCCTCCGTGAGGGTTACAGTCATAAAAAAATCCGGAAACATGTTGCAATTTTTTCAATGTCCGCCCCTTTGGCTGCTGTTATAACCTTTATGCTACTGCAAAGTAAGGCTCAACTAAATCCGAATAGTATGCAATGGTGGACTGCGATCTTATTACTCTTTTCTGGAGGTACTTTCCTATATGTGGCGATGCATGTAATGCAAAATCTCAACAATGGTCATAGTTCCTTTGGAAAATTATCAGGTCGAAATATTGCCATTCTAATATCGGGAATGTTCTTTCCACTGCTATTAGAATTCGAGCATGCACATTGACCTGAAAAACCCAATAACCGAAAAAAAGAACAACTTTAAAAAAAAAGGATATTTCTTAACCTTGACATTTTATTGCTTATCACTATTGTCCAATATTTCAATAATGATGCAGAGTAAAATTAATTGATAAGTTGTAAATGCTGGCACCGATCGATTGATTGAGAAATGTACCCTTCAACCAATATACTAAATACAATAATACATCAATCATAAATTTTTAATGTGAATCATAGATTAGAATATTTACGATTATAAAAAACTCCTAAATAATCTTCTTCGATGAGAAATAAAAAGCACTACCAATTAATCATTATTCAAAGAAACTCCAAGATCACCAAAAACCTCAAAGACTTTTCCTAATTCAACCCATCCGCACAATGGTGTATCGCCGATTACATATTGTGTCTTTTTATTGAAAAACAATAAACCATCTGGTTGATATCCAAATTGACTAGGATTTGACATTATGGTCGAAAGTTGTTCATGGTTACAATAATGGATAGTTAATGGCTTGAATGTAACAGATGTTGTGTCAGAATCATCGATTTCAGCGAATTTTGAGTGTAACCAATAAAATCTATTGATTTTTATATTGAGAGTTCATTAATAAAAATTAATTAAAGTTAAAATTATTATGAAAAATTAAATACCTGAATTCTGTATCACAATCATATATGGGATGTCCTTTCCAGCACATCAAGTCCAAGATATAATATGTTGAAGAAGTTTCATCAAAGATACAATCCAAAATACAATAATCATTTGTCTTGTTTCCTTTATAGACGCTGGATCCGGCTGGTAATAACGACTCGAATACATCCATTATATATCCTTTTGAGAAAAGAAATATTACATAGAACAAACAAAAATATGATAAAAGAAAATAGATTTTGACTAATAAATCTTACCACTTCTTGATCTGCTTACAGTTTTTCCTAATAATAATGGTCATTCATTGAATCAATTGACTTTTATCTACTATTTAAATATGACAATTAAATAATGAAAAAACTGTGTTTACCTTTTGACGTGATTACCAGACGCCGTTTGCCAACAGGACACATCACCACATACCAGTTAGCTTCCAAATCACTTGGTAAGTCTTCCATGCACTCGGCGTACATGATTTGATTTCTGCAATTATAAATTGTTAGAACATGTATTATAGGTTATGATTTGATTAACAGCATCTTAATTAAAAAAAAAATACCTGTGTATGTTTTTTGCTCTGGGCTTTCGTCTTATTTTTTTGGTTTTGAAACTTTTTACTGTTTCAGAAACAATCATTTCGTAATCCATCAATTCGGATAAATCCACCGATGTAGAAACATCTTGAAATGTATTAATATCTTGCTCCAATTCTTCTTCGTCTGATGAAGTTTCTGAGGGTCTGTAAAGTGCTAAATTGCGAGCAAGATCGGTGAAATCTCGCCGCCGCTTAAACGAATAAAAGAAAAGCTTTTATTAGTATATTTGATCACGAATTTTCTTTTGGCTTGCGTGCTAACAAACGAATTTATTTCTTTTACCTTTTGCTGTTCTTCCAAAGCTCTTTTACGTCTTTCTTCTTGTGTTTCGCGTTTGCTTAGTTTCATTAATGGAGAGGCTTTGTGAGAAGCTTGGCGGTAATCTTTTCGCGTTTTTGAGACGGTGCTCTCTGCGAGCATTTCGGTAATTTCGTCTATACTCTTGGAGTTCTCCATTCGCGTACTTATGTTAAAAAGGAGAAACTAGTCGCACAACGCATATGCTACGATAGACGTGTTTTTTCATCTCAATAAATATGATGATCTTTTTTAATAATTCAAATTTAAATACTATTATCGGACTAGACATCATCTATGAACAAAAATCATTTATAAATTACAATATTCAGGCCATTCACAATTACAAATTTTATTTTTATTAACCGTTCTCAATGTTAAAGAAATTCTCTCTCTTCTATCTCTAATCTGTCCATTGTCAAGTAGATCGCATTTTCTTGCTCTAAAAAAAGTAATTTTTTGAACAAGGCTAATTATATGACCATGCTTGAAAAAAAAATTCTAAAGAAATCTTACCGGATAGCATGAGTCCAAGCATAGCGAGATTCTTTGCTAAGAATAAGTAAAGATCTCGGGGAAAGATCAATTAGAACAATATTACCCGTTTTTATTTCCTTAAATTCCATTAGAACGGCGCTTTGCAAACTAATGGACAAAACGAAATCACCAAAGTATAAATGACTATCAACATGAGGAGGTATTCCTGAACCAATCGGATATAATTGAGCAGTCATTTGTTCCATATTTGGTATATTTGGAAAGAATATTTTGAGTTTTGAGAGAGGCAAATTCATAAATTCGGGAAATTCTTTTTTATTATTTGATGAATTATCGAGATCAACTTTATTTGGATAATTAAACATATAACCAAAGTGTTGCTTAAAAGATTAAGAATAAATATGATTAGAAAATTATTTATTATTCAGACATAATAAATAGAAACGACAAATAGAAACACGAATAATTACCACCATTCGATCTTGAACTGGTTGCCAATTTTGTTCGTTTGAATGTAATCCTTGTATAATTTGTTGTTCTAAATCAAAAGAGATAAATTCTTTCATTATTATTAGTCCTCGGATTTTCTCTGGAGGAATTATCGATGACGAAAATGACGGTATCGTTGCGGTCGTGGTAATCGTTGAACCTGAAATTTGGTTCATAAAATTGATCCATGATAAATTAACAAATTCAATATAAAGTATTTTGTCATTGAGAAGCTCGCATTTTTTCTCGTGAAGCGAATCTCGTGCTATCATGGCATTGTCCGGTGCATCAAATAATGCAAAAGAATATGGCTGTTATCAAAGATTTTTACCACAAATTAATTATGGTTATTGATCTCTAAAGCAAAAAGAAATTTTATGGATGCAAACATATGATACCTTGCCATATGCGAATCGCCATCCTTTCCAACCTTCAAATTCTCGAAAAATCTTTTCTAATTGTTCACCTAAAACTCCAGCAGCACCACCAAAACATATATTAACTAAACAAAGATATTGAGTCGGTTCAGTTGAAAATAGTTCCTCAAATGTAGCTTTTTCGATTTTCTTTATCACTTCATACGAATGTAGTTTTTTAATCTGAAGTTTACGAAGTCTACGAATTTCTTTACGAGACATTGTAGATCCTGTTATTTTTGATCTTATTGGCCAGATTAAAGCAGGGTATTTTTACGCGAAAAATAACTGTTATCTTTCCACATTTGAGTATCAAATTTTATTTTATATTTGCTACGAAATTCATCACTTCTGTCTTACTTTTTTTAAAGGTCAAATGTCTTCTCAACAATCTAAGAACGACTTGTCTAAACAAGTGTCCGGAGGCAATCCCTTTGAGGATGCCACCGTGCAAATACAATCTTCTCGAAAAAAGTCAACAATTATACAGAAATCAGGAATAGGGTATATACATATATATATATATATATTTTTAATAAATCTTATAAGTTTCTTCTACTCTTTAAAGTCTAAAAAAAGATTTCAAAGAATAAGGTCACCAACCGATAGTATCCTGTCTCCTTGCTCGGCGAAACTACAAGAAAAGAAAAAGAAAACCCTTGATAAAGTGTAAGTATCAACATACTATCTTCGAACAATTGAGCATCTATAGTTATTTATTGCTCGTTATAACTTATAATTCTTTAGTGGAAAGCCTTTGTTCCTTCTTAGTGCATTTGCCAAGGCTGCACGTGAAGAGACAAATTCTAAACCCATTGACGAATCAAATCCTTAAAGTGTCTATGATTTGCAAATTTGAATTACGCGTTTGAATAATCATGAAGATGATCAAACGCGTTTTCAAAAAAGTATTGTAGTATCAGGCGAAATTTGCTAATTTATTTCCTCAGATAAAATTTTACTGATGGTAGATAATGAGAACGATATTACTAGTTAATTTGAGGCAAATAAATACCTCTAATTTTTATTTAATATACATACAAATTCTGTTAATTTGACTCATAACTAAAAGAAAAATGCTAAAAAAGTTCTTTTGAAATTAAAAAATCTAAAATATCACTATTTGAAAAAAAAGAAAAAAAAAGAAATATATATATATATAAATGTTTTTGAGAATTTCAAATTTTCAAGTTTGATTTTTTATGCTTGATGTGTTTTAGACTCGAACAGTAGCTTGTTGTCTTTGCAAAGACTCTGGAAAGTGAATTTTGATTCCACTTTGTTTGCTCTTTTCTGCACGAACTTGGGCGAGGAACTCATCAAAAAGATAATCCGTATCTTGAGGTCCTCCTTTTGCTTCCGGGTGAAATTGAACGGATCGGACGGGCCTGCTGATATGTTGAATGCCTTCGTTTGATCCATCATTCGCATTAACGAAATATTTTTTCCATCCAGTTGGCATAATATCATCTTTCAGAGCATAGCCTTTAAAAAATAAATTATATTTAATTCATTAATAAATCAAAGAGAAATCTCGTTTTTATTTTTATATTAAATTTAAAATAATTACCATGATTTTGTGATGTTATGGCACACATGCCATTAGTCATATTGACTGCGGGAACATTGTGACCTCGATTGCCAAATCTAAGTTTGTACACGTCAAGACCGGCTGCCATTCCAAGCAATAGGTTTCCCATGCAAATTCCAAATATTGGTTTCTGATAAATTTCAAGCGTCTGTCGTAAAATATTTACAGTGCTTGTGACCTTCTTTGGATTGCCCGGTCCATTGGAAATGAAAAGGCCGTCAAACTGATCTGCCACTTTGGTGAAATCAAAGTCCCATGGAAGCACTGTCACGCTCGCGCCACGCCTGACAAGCGAACGCAATATATTTTGCTTAACACCACAATCTATGATGAAATAAAAAATTAATTAATTTATGCCAGCTAAAAGATAACTTTCAATATTATCTTTACTAATTTTTTACTAACCAATGATGGCGATTTTTATATCACCGAATGGATTATAAGAAACGGGAACTTTTGTGGAGACCTCAGCAACGAGATTTCTCAAATTTGGATCTTCATATTCTGCATTGGCGGTGTCAAGGTTAGAGGCTTCCTCGCCTACATCTAATCTGGCAAGGGTGGAGCCTTGGTCTCGCAAAATATGCACGATTGCTCTTGTATCCACTCCAGAAATTGCAGGCACACCGTGGCGAGCACACCATTCACCAAGAGATTCGACAGCAGTCCAGTGAGAATATTTGGTTGCATAGTCATTCACAATAATACCTTCGACTTGAATCCGATCGGATTCGAAGTACTCCATTAGGCCAAATTTATCCTTAAAAAGGCCTGGGACTCCGTAATTTCCAATTAAAGGTTGTGTGAATGTTAAAATTTGGCCCCTATAGGAAGGGTCTGTCATTGACTCGGGATAACCAACCACCGAAGTAGTAAAGACTGCTTCGCCAGACACCGAGGTAGGAGCACCAAAAGAGGTTCCTTGGAATGTTTGGCCAGTTTTGAGTTTCAATGTAGCCGGTAACGGCTTTGAGGATACATTTGCGTATGGCGCGGACGGAGGACCGAATTGCGAAACTGTATGATCAGTAACAGTGGCAAGACCACGGTTAAGTGCCAATGGTCTAAGAAAAACTTTGAAATAGTGACGAGCAAGATTGCTTCGAACCAAGGAAGGCATTTTAAAATGGATGTTATAAGTGATGTTAAAGGAGTAAAAACACAAGATCAAAGAATTTTATAAATAATTTTCTGTCGAGAGAAAAGCACTAAATCTTATTTAATTAATGTAATTAATGGGTATATATATTAAATAAAGTGATATGGAGATAAAAGAACTCAGATTTCAAATGCCAAACTTTTCCAGACTATATAATGAAATTAAGTGGGAATAAGTTAGTCATAAATTTCAAACAAAAAGCAGTCACAACTTTAACACAAATACAAACCTTGGTGTGCAATGTAATCGGCGGCAGTAGTATCGTTATAGGAGTGCTGCATGTGGAGTTGAGAGTAATTAAGAAACAAAAAGTGGCTCTCTTATATTAAAGAACCGAGATACACAAAGTACAACTAATTTTAATAAAACGATGATGGATTGATGGATGGATGGATGAATAGATTATTAATTGTGAGAAGAAAACAAATTATCGGGAGATGAGAGATTTTTAGATTTTAACAAATTATGACGTTAAATCGCAGTAGCCACCAATTATCATAATTATAATGATTATCTCTTCGCTTATCTATCTCATTGGAAAGTCAATTTTAATATAATGCATGCGTGTAGTGGATCGTCGTGCCATTATGAAATGTTAATCGATTCTTTAATAAGAAATATTTGATTTGTTTACTTACTTGGGCGTAAATGAACAATAGTAACCATCTTTTTCCCGATACTAGATGGTTTGATTTCGCCCACTGATGATGGATAATGTGTTTGATCCCGATTTCAGCTAATTCATGCTACATACCATGTCAATATTATAATGAATTTTTTTGTTTTTATTATCGTTATTTACAATTTCATTTATTGAATAAATAATAATGTCATGAACGATTTTACTATTATAAAGAATTAATATTGCGCTTTTGTTAAAGTTAGGTTTCCGATTATTTTTTTAATAAAACATATATTAATGTATGAGTTTTATGTTAACACGTAACGAGGTCCGTTCCCACCCTCTGGTGTCACCCAATCGATGTTCTGTGATACGTCCTTTATGTCGCATGTTTTACAATGTACACAATTTTGAGAATTGATTTGCAATCTTTTCTGACCAGGTTTAGCCTCGTCGTCAACAAATTCATAGACGCCGGCTGTTTGTTATAATAATAATAAAAAAGATGTGAGATAATCTATTATTAATGTAGCCAAAATCTGCAAAAGATCTTTACCTGGGCAAAAACGTTGTTCCGGTCCACCAAAAATCTTTAAATTTCTCTCAACAGGTAATTTCGGATCACGTACACGCAAGTGTACCGGTTGATTTTCTGTGTGATTTGTGCCACTTCGCGAAAGGTTCTCCAATAAATCAAAAGAGATTTTCCCATCAGGTTTGGGATATTCGATTGGTTTACACTCACTGATGATTAATCAAATATTGCATAAATATTTTAATAGAAATAAAGAATATCAATTCATCTAAGTCACCTAGCAGGCTTCAAAGCAGCATAGTCAGCGTGATGTTTGAATGTCCATGGTACTCTTCCTTTCAAAAACAGAGCATCAACTCCAGCGTATGTGATTCCGCCCCACATTCCTAATGAGCTGTTGAAAGAAGGTCTTACATTTCTGACTGCATATAACTCTTTCCATAACCAGGATTCTTGAATAGATTTCTCATAAGATGTTAACGTAATAGGGCCAGTTGTCTGCTCAGAGTTAACGATTGCATTATAAGCCGCCTCTCCTGCTAGGATGCCGGATTTCATGGCAGTATGAGTTCCTTTTATTTTAGCGACATTAAGAAACCCGGCTGTATCTCCGATTAATGCACCGCCAGGAAATACTAATTTTGGAATAGACTATAGTTTAAAAAAATTGTCAATTTTTTCAATTTTTTTTTTATATACATAATACCCAAATTAGATTTAGCATACTTGGTATCCGCCTTCATTTAACGCACGAGCACCATAACTTATGCATTTTCCACCTTCAAAGAATTTTTTAATAGACGGATGATGTTTCCATCTCTGAAATTTTTAGATGATTAGAGATACGAGTAATTCGATATATTACTAAAAAATTTATCTAAACCAACCTGGAATTCCTTATAAGGGTGTAAATAAGGATTTTGATAATCAAGGGCTACCACAAAACCAGTTGTCACAATATTATTTTCCATTGTATACAGAAATGAACCTCCATAGGTTCTATAATCCAATGGCCACCCCAACGTGTGAAGGACTAAACCTTGAACATGCTTAGAGGGATCAACTTCCCAAACCTCCTTAATACCGATACCGTAGGTTTGAGGTTGTTTACCATCACGAAGATTAAACTTTCGCATCAATGTCTTTGTGAGTGATCCATGACATCCCTCTGCAAATAATGTAATTTTGGCACAGAACTCCATACCTCGCTCAAATTGTTTTTTTGGTTTAAAATTTTTGTCTAAACCTATATCATTCGTAGCAATACCACGTACACTACCATCTTCATCATAGAGCACCTAAAAAAGGATACAATTAAATTCATTTTTTTAAATAATAAGGATATCAATATCTAACATCATAAAAATTCGAACCTCACTCGCAGAAAATCCAGCATAAATTTCCACATCAAGTTCATTAGCCTGCTCCCCTAACCATTTAACTACATTACTTAAGCTAACAATAAAGTTCTTCTTATTATTAAGGCTAGGAGGATGAGGCAGTGGTACAGATGATTTTCTGAAAAGAAGTCTAATATCATCCTTCAAAACAGGTTGATTTAATGGAGCTCCCCGATCTTTCCAATCTGGAATTAATTCATCTAATGCGCGCGGTTCAAGTACACAACCAGAAAGGATGTGTGCCCCTGCATAACAAACGAAGAATTAAGAATATAGTGTAGAATATGAACTATCGATTTATCCACTAACCAATTTCAGGTCCCTTCTCAATTACTACTACTCTCACTTCTTTTCCTTCCGCATTAGCCAATTGCTTTATTTTGATGGCAGCTGAAAGACCTGAGGGACCACCTCCCACAATTACAACATCCGTGTCGTCGCGAGGCCGCTCCGCAAGAAGTCGAGGATCAACTTGGTCTGAAACGGAAGCAAGCCTCTTTACTGAGGTGGTGGAAAATGAATATCTTTTATTACATAGAAAGGATGTTCGGGAGTGAATAAGCGCGGGTGCAAGTGAAGATAAATTTCGTAATTGACCAAAACTCTTCAAAAGGGGTTTTTGAGATATAAATATAAGAGAAGCCATAACAGAAGCAAACGAAATTCATAATTTTTGATTTTTGATCTTTGTAAATCTAATCTCGTGATCATCAAAAAAACTCGGGCATGTGATTCCTGGTCACATGATAAACATAACTTGTAATCAATGATTGGTTGATTTCTCATTATGTCATTACAACTTATATTCAATAATTAATTTGATTTTTTATTATGTTATTATAACTTATATTTAATAATTAATTGATTTCTCATTATATTATTACATAAGAATTTATTATTTAAATAATATATAATATATAATAAAAAAACTAGATATTTTAATTTTTTTTATAAATATTTATTTAAAAATTTAAATATATATATAAAAGTATAATAAATAACTTTATTTAAAAACTACTTGAATATATATCTTATTAAAATTTTTTATAATTTATATTTTTAAAATTAAAAATTTTTAATAATAAGAAAACTTAAATAAATTATTATAAATAAATTTAATTATTATTTTGTAAATTAATCTTAAGTAAACTTATTTATTAGATTATTAAGTATATATATTTAAAATTTTATATAATTTAAATAAATATTATTATCATAGTAATATAAATTTCTTTAATTTCATAATTTTTAAAATTTAGAGTTTTCAACTAATCAATCAATTTTTGAATAATATATGATTTTAAATAATATAATTGGTATATTAGTTATGAATTCAGTTATAATTCAATAATATTTTTGTAATATTTCTGTAATATTTTAATAATACTTCAAGATTATAAATAAATAATTAGTTCTAAAATTAATAACAGTTCAAAAATAGTTTAATAATAATTTAGAAATACTTTAGAAACAGTTCAATAACAAATTTAATTTATTTTTATTATTATCTTTTTCTTTTTAAAATATCTATCTTATTTTTTCATTTTATTTTATCATTTGTATTATCTTATAACTTATCACATATATCTTATCTCTTTATTTTACTTATTTATTTATTGATCTTTTGTTCCAAAGTTTATAATTATAATCTAGAGTAGTAAATAAGTTTAGATAAAAACTTATAAAATCTCAAAGATATATAAATATCTTTGCTCTCAGATGTGAAATAAATGTACTTAAATAACAATAATTTAATTATCTTTGAAAATACTTGAGTTATAATATGTTGCAAAAAAATGATGCACAAATAAACTTGTATATCTCAACAAATATTTAACAGAATGGACTTATTTTAAAACTTATAAACTATTTTATTAAATATAAAAATTTTAATATAAAATTACATTTCTATTTTTTTGTAATACTAGTTCACAATAATTTTTTATAAATTTTATATAATATTCTGAGGAATTTTATTCTATTCTTTTATTATAAATTGCTTTAACTTATTAATATCTTTATATATTCTTTTTTTCACATTATTTTTAACAATCTGTCACATATTCTTGATAGAATTCAAATTAGAACTGTTAGATAGTCACTTTATTATATAAATATTATTTTAGAATAAAAAATTCTTTGCAACATATAAAGTGTACTTAAAATTATTATTTTATTATAAATATCATTTTCTATCATATAATAATCAGTCAAATAGAACAAATTAAAGAAGCTTAGTTTGTAAAATATTTATATAAAAGAGACTATTCATTATATTTACAAAGCAAAATACTAATCTTTTAATTTATATATCATTTTTTTTATAACACACTGTATATTTATCTTGTAATTTTTTCTTGATTCTTGTCTTGATAATTTGCTTTTATTTATATTTTTTATCATAATAAAGTATATTCTGATTATTTATAAGTTTTTCTTACCTAAAAACTTAGATAATAAATGCTCTCTACTTAAAATAAGTCAAGTATATTTTATTTAATTTAGAGGATTCTTATAAGTTTTTCCATGTATAAAAGCTTTTGATTTGTTTTGATATTTACTCTTTATTTATCTAATGGTTAAAAAGATACTGTTAGAGAGTTTAGTTAGTATATTAAATCTTTTGTTTTTGTTTTAATATTTATTGCTTTAGTTTTTGATATCTATTCTTAGTTTAGTTTTCATGATTATAACTTTGTTTTTATTTTATTTTTAACTTGTATTGATATAATACTTATAAGTATTAATACTTAGAAATCTTTAAAATAACTATTATTTCTTAATCTTTATAAATAGTTTAGTTTTTACTCTCAAAACTTATTATAAACTATATTTATAGTAAAATCTATCTTTCAAAGTATAGTTTATAATATCACACTTTCAGATTAATTATTTATATCTGAAGAAATTCAAAAAATATTAGAAGCAAATATAATCTGATTATTAACTAGTTCTTGAATTTTATCTATTATTATAGTTTCTAAAAAAAATAGAAAGAAAAGATTTTGTGTTAATTACAAAAAGATAAATATTATAATCTAAAAAGATATATATCTATTAACTAAAATTGATAAAATAATAAACTTTCTTGAAAATACTTATTAGTTTTCATTTATAGATCTAATCTCTAGATACTAATAAATTGAAATGAAAAAAGAAGATAAATTTTCTTGAAAATGCTTATTAATTTTTATTTATAGATCTAATTTCTAGATACTAACAAATTGAAATGAAAAAAGAAGATAAATTTAAAACTATTTTTATCTTCAGAAAAGGACTTTTTGAATTATATAATACTCTAGCAATTTTTAATAAGATATGAATATTATATTAGATAAATATAATTGAAACTTTGCTAATATATACATTAATAACTTAAATATATTCTTCAAAGATTTTGAAGAATACTTAGATTATTTCAATAAAGTATTTTGCAAAATTCAAAATACTAATTTAAATCTCAATCCAGAAAAATATAACTTTTGCAGAAGAGAATTATTTTTTCTTGGAAATATAATAACTGAGGAAGAAATTTCTTCTGATCCATTAACTATTTAGAAGATAAAAGATTTTTCTCAATCAAGAACTATTAAAGAACTTAAATTATTTCTTGAATTAGCTGAATACTATAAAAAATTATAAAAGAATTTTCTCAAATTACTGGCTTTCTATTCAAGTTATTTTAAAATACAAAATTATTTATTTAGACTGTAGAACAAGAAGAAGCTTTCAATAAATTAAATATTATCTTATAATTGCATCTATTTTGATTTACTCCATCTTTATAAAGAAATTCTATCTTTATATCAATATTCAGACTCAAAACTTGAAGTTATTCTATTATAAAAAGATAAAGATATTGTTACCGTAGTAGCATAAAAATCCCTAATTCTTTAATCTTTTCGTGGTTATGCAAAATTACATTTTCTTATAACTTTTACATTTTATAATTATTTCTATATTTTTACATCATATAACTATCCCGTATTAGTATATTATCACATTTCTATATTTAGAT